GCCTACGGCGGATTGTTATAGGTACCTCCTGATGTCGAAAGCGTGCTGTTCTGTACGTAAAAAAGTTTAAATGGCATCGAGTGTTTGATTTTCAAGCGAACACCATTGAAAATCCAATTACATGCATCTAAACCTCCTTTTATTATTATTATAACGTGTGTGTACTGTTAAGGGTAGTCTTGGTAGTCACAGAATATTTATATATATAGTCAATATTAATTATTTGAATATAGTATATTTATTTTACATCACATGTAAATCGCTGTTTGGTTTTCTGTATTATAGTTCACCATATTTATTGACTATATTACAAAATACAAATTGGTTTATTTAAAATATATATTTCTCATTATTTCTATTATAAAATATAAATATAATTAAAAGCAAAAATTTATATATAAACATTTTAAACCATCAAACTTATTAGCCCATTTCTATAAATTATTTTGTTAGGTACCAAATATGTAATTTGTATATCTATTTATGTATAGATCAATTATTTATTAATCGTTAAAATTAAATTAGTAGTTATGTAAATACATTTTGAAAAACACTAGGAACAATGTTTATTTTAATAAAATCTAAAATATTGAAATCAATTTTATAAACTAAAGCTAGATAAGTTGTATGAAAAATTAAATAACTTAATAAACTAGTCATGGTCTACTAAATTACTTTTTAGAGACTATTTGGTCATTACTGATACATTAATTAATGTTGAGTGATTGTTCATGATTCATGAATCTCGGCCACATAAATTTGGAAATACATACCATTGGTTTTGCTTGTTGTTCATGAATATTCTTAGTAGCAGGTACAACTTATATCGGTATTTTGACCTAGGCATCTGATTGATTGGATCATTTATGATTAATTAAATCTTATCTATTAAGATTAGGTAGCCATAATTCGTGAAAACGTGTATGCCTTGGAAAATAACGCTTGATATTATTAATACTAATCATTATGTATGGATCAATTGTTAAGAATAATTCGTAATTAATATCCATGACTTTGAAACAGAACTTTAGATAAGCTATGTTTCAACCTTTTTTCGTACAATTGAGTCAGGTCTGATTCAGTTTCAAAAAAAGAATAGTAGCGTATATTTTATGTTATCTTTTATGGTAAATGGAATAACAGATAGATCAAATTCAGCACTCTAGCATATAAAACTACATTTTTAATTTCTGTCAGGAATAACATCGTTAAATAATTTTGTATAACAAAATTTTATGAACATGTTAAACTCTTGGACATCCTCAACACGAACAATATAATCTGTGGTTTTAAATGGTGTATTTTATTTATTTAATCTATCGCGATGAATTTGGTTAATTTTATTAAAATATTTAGTTTCAAAATCTTTCATATAAAGAGATTTTGCTGGTGAAAATTTCAAAACATTGAAATGTAAATATGATAAATATCTATGAAGCACATTATTTTTAACTATTCACACAGGAAAAAATTGCAAATGTTCACCATTAACTATGCACGTGACGAATGGTAGAGAGTAACTTACTTATTAAGTATAATATTTTATTATTGATATACTTTTTTCCTTAAAAAGTTTTAGTTCTTAATATGAAAACTACTATAAAAAACTAACACAAATTGTTACCCAACACAAATTTTTACTTTTTATTTCTATTCTATAAGTTAATTAAAATTGTTTTACAAATTGCTTGGGATTCTAAATATTTTATAAAAATTGAAAATTAAAATAAATGGTCACAAAAATATTTTGTAAATTAATAACATCACACAGAGTAGGCTCTAATATCTATTTTTAATTATTTAAATAAATAAGTCAATTCAAATTTTATTTTCTAAGGTGTTTTATAACCACACAGGACTCATTGTTGATATTTTATCATGAGTCGTGATGCATTCAAGTTGCTAATTTTATTACAAGTATAGAAATAGTAATAATTTAAAATAATAATATATATAATATACACTATATTAAAATATAATAATATGATTTTTTTTTTTTAATCGGCAATACATTCGCCACCCGGAACCGCCGTCGAGCAATACTTCGGGTGACTAGTCGCCATCGCCATCGTTTATTATTAATTAATTATAATTATTTTTTGGGCGTGAAAGGGACAGTCCTCCAGTCACGGGCCCTTACAAATAAAACAATATAACAACAATATAAAACTACAGATTATGATATAATATGGGCGTGAAGGGACAATACCCTAACACAGTGGTTCTTAACCGGTGTTCCGTGAACTTGGTAGAAGTGTTCCGCCAAAATTTTAAAATCAGTGAAAAAAAATTCTTTCAAAATAGAATCATTTTAGGTTTTATTGGTTTATTTTTGTACACAAAAACGTTATCGTGAACTTTTGAATTATATAATGTGTCAGTATACTATATAACGGGGGTGGGCAACTGGCGGCCCGCGAGTCTTTTTTATCTGGCCCGCGTTACATTTTCAAATTGCATTAGGTATAGGTATACAATTTTAACCTATGTCCTATTTCATTATAAACAAAATAAATGCTATTCAAAATCAGGCACAAATATCTCATACAAAGTATTCAATTTCTAATTTTTAAATTTTTTTAAACTCTTTTTATAATTTTATTATTTTTTAGTGACTAACACTAACATGTATGACATGCAAACAATTTTATGCTATACATTCATTGTTTAATATATTAAAAAATTAAAAATGTATGTACTACTATTTTATTTTATAGTTGTGTTCCGCGAAAATCTTATAAAATATTAAGTGTTCCGTCATTCGAAAAAGGTTAAGAACCACTGCCCTAACACGACTCCTATGACTTCGGCAGCGCTTCGCTCCGGGGCCTCGCAGTCACCACGGAAGTTTGCCGTCTACGGCGCGGCCGGCGCCGAGTTCGCCTGACTTACCGACGCCTGGATGGAGTTACCCCCTGCCAAAACTACCTGTCCCGCTCAGCACTCTCCTTCGCGAATCGAGCCACCACCTCTCAGTTACCAACCTAGCCGGACTCTTCAGCATTCTGGGTACTAGTCCGCCCGGGTCGAAGGGTCGGATTGCGTCGATTAAACGCTCCCGGTGACCCCTGTACGCTTCACAGTGTAAGAGGGTGTGGAAGGCGTTGTCGACTTCCTTGCCGTAGCCGCCGGGTGATCCGCAGTGGGAACATCCGCTAGACGGTGCACGGTTGATTCTCCCCTGGAATCAGTTGAAACAACCATGCCTCGTCATCAGCTGGTTGAGGTGAAAGGGTATTTCCTCGTACGGCTTGTTCACTTACTGGCAGAGCAGGTCCGGGGTGACGGGGTTAAGGCGGTGTGTAAAATAGTTTGACCGCGGATAGCCGGTCATGAGAATTTGATGCACACGCCCGATACTCGTCTAGCGCGATTTGTCTTCCAGCCCCACCTAGGCCTTTACGGCGTAGGTGGGAGAGTTGACGATATTACGTCTTTACCCGTGGTGGTGGTGGTGATAGTGTAGCCGGTGGCTGCGGTTCCTGTATTTTGTACCGGCGACCGTTGCGTACCGTGTCATACTCTCCCGCCAAATCGCCACACAGGTTAGACTTGTACCGGTGTGTGTATTCCGAGGTGTGGTTCGGCTTGCATTACTTCTTGGCGGAGCTTGAGATAGGCTCGCGTAACCATTTCCCTTTAAGGTTAATTTGGGGACCCCACCGGGGTGAAGAATGGCTTGTTATACTCTATTTCTGGTACCTTCTTGAACGACAGTGGTGGCGCAGCTAACCAGGCGTCCTTGGAGATATTTTACGGGTCCGCGGCTTGGTTTTGCTGTTCCGGCGCAGTGTTTTGCGCTCTGATGCCGGTGGATCCACCTCCATCGTCACCACCGGTGCCGACTTGTACGGAGGTTTGCTGGCGGTCTCAGGTTTAGAGGTTGGCGTTTGGACTCGCTGACTGCTTTCTAGCCTTCCTCTTTTCCTTCAACTTGAGGAACTTTTTTTTGTTCCTCGCCTGCTGTGCCTCTGTCATTGTCCTTATCGGTGCTGTGGGAGGTGCTCCAAGCGTTCTGAGTGACGGTTTCGGTCCCCTGGAGCCAGCGAAGCTAGGCTTACTTGCCGTCTTAGCGGCTGCTGGTTGTTGCAGCTGCCTTGGCCTCGACGATAATTTTGTGGGTTTTCTGGAGGTCAGCCGTACGGTTTTCTTAGCCACGACGGTAGATGGCCATCTGCACTAGGCCCTGGATGAACTGCTCGGGTTCACGAAAGGCGCGTTTTTTGGTGAGCATCACACACTTTGATTTGTCCGGGCCAATTTCGAGGTTGTTGGAAGACATCCATCGTTCAATGTCAACAAGTGTTTAATTCACTTTATCTTATATCAGCTGCGCGTTGTAGGCAACGGCTACCGCCGCGACGTCATCGACAAACACGACCAGCTTAATAATCGGTATTGGTGGTGGCGTCTTTGGTCGTCACACCACTACTCGAGATTTCCTCTCTGTTCTGTACTTGATCGAGGGTGAGAACCGTCCGGAGATGCTTGGCGTTGGCCTCCAACTTCTGGACACTGCACAACGCTTCATTGAAGGATCGCACAACCTGGTTCCTGCCTGCCTTCATCTAGGAAACCATAGAGAGAAGCTCCGTGATGGCTTCTTTGACCCCAGGGCTGCGGGTCTTCTCGGAGATGACTTCGAGAGTTCCGACTTTCTGGAACAGAGTTCTGAGGGCCGTGTTCTGAGGTATCATTTTCGTCCAGAGCGCCTTACAGTTGCTAAGGACCGTGTTGCGAACCTGGTGTTAGAGGAGTGACGGGGAGATATTGAAAATAATAACACAGGTTCGGTTAGTTGTAAAGTAATTTTCCGTTAATTAGAAAAATGAAAAATAAAATAACAGAAGACTCCAAGTTAAAACGAGGAAAATCTTTTAAAAATGTAGGTTCTCTGTACGGACGTGGCAGAGGCATTATCGCGTGTAGTTCGATGGGTAGAACTGATTCCAGTCATAGGACCGGTTCGCGGTGTCGGCGGTCAAGACGTTCCGACGCCGTTATTGTGCGTCGGTGTCATCTGTCGTCGGCTGGTGGTTGGATAGAGAAGTGATTTTCCGGTTTTCCGCGTAAAAGCCGTTTGAATTCAAACGGATATTACGCTGAACCGCGTCAACTTGGATGGATTCCCTTTCACTTTCTAAAAATTTGCATGAAAACAATGGCAATTTAGGATATGATACCTTAGAATAATTAAAATATTATTTAAAAAAATTATAAACTAATTTAAATTAATTGATTGACGTTATAATTATATATAGATGATACATAAGTACATGTTTAACAAACAAAATCCTTGTATAAGAACTATTTTATTTAAAAATATTTTATCTAGGTTTATAATTAATTATAGATGAAGGATTACATAGTAGTAGTATCTCAGTAATAAATTTTGTATATGCATAAAATCCAAAGCAAAAAAATTAATACTGAAGATTATGTAAAAATAATAAAAACATTTTTAGATTTTAGTGAAAAAGAGTTATATTGATATTAAAATTTTAAAACGAATATGAGTATTACATATTTTAATGTAGTTATAAGTTTACATTAATTATAAAATTAAATTTTCCATAAAAACCAATGGGATGCCTTAAGTGATTTTTTTTATCTTAAAATGTTATAATAGGTCAATTATCTTTAGTTTTAAACCTAACAAAACAGAATTGATTTTGCATTATGAAAATTAAGTATCTTGATGGATTATTATAAAACGAAAAAAACAAACGAGTTCGTATTCTTTAATATATAATTTTGAGCACATAGACGTATAAGTAGATAGTAATAACTTATTACTAATAAGCTTTCACCTCGACATTATGCAATGAAATTGTCTTTAAATTCTTCAGTAGATATGTCCATAATGTTATTAAAATTTTCTATTTCTGTACCTAATACAGTATAAAAAAAATAATTATTATAATTTAATACTTTTCTAACTCGTTCTGCTTCGTTCTGCTTATATCGGAGGTTGTTAAAAAAACAAAAGACGATACATTAAAAAAAAGCGGGCAAGTGGGTACCGCTGTACATTAGGGGGTGGGGTGAACCTCGGACTAGAGTAGGTTAAATTTGAATGCAATAATAGGTATCATTGTATACAAAAAACGATTCTGAACGGAGATGATTTATCAGTCTAGGATATATTATATTTAAATATTATCATACATTCTATTTTGAAACAAATATTTTATTTTTCAATTAGGACGCATTTGAAAAAGTCATGGTTAATCAATTAATTATTAATTTTTATGAATTATACCTACACAATAGTTTGCATGGTTTTGACGAATTTTTGTCAATATTTGAACTTCAAATGCTAATAAAAAAAAATTGTGCTTATGTATTCTTAAACATTTTTGATCACTATAAGAATAACTTATGAGGAACTTTGTATTAAATGTTCAAGTATTTTGAGTGGGCCAAAAAAAATTTATTGACACTTAAAAAATTTTTTTCAGAAAAATTGAAAATTTCAGTTGTCTATAAATAGCTATAAATTTTTCCTATAATGATGCTTCGAGTTTTTACTATAGCTACTTGAAGGAAAACTTAGGGAAAACATAGTGTATTATTTTTAATCCTTAGTTATAAACACAAAAAATTTTATGATTTTCAACTTCAAAATTACTTACAAATTTTAGTGTTTTCGATAGATTTCGTAAATATTTGAACTATAAACGTTTATAAAAAAAAATTGTGACTAAAGATTTTCAATTTTTTTTTAGCTACAATAAGAACAACTCATAAGGAACCTTGTATTAAATTTTCAAAATTTTTTGGTCATCCAACATATTTTTATTGACACTTCAAAAAAAAATTCTCATAAAAATCGATAATTTCAGTGGTCTATAAATTAAACTGTATATAGATAACACTAATAACTAATATAAACATTTGGTGAAAATTTCAAGTATTTACAGTGATTAGTTTTGAATTACAACCATATAAAAAAATTGATTTGGTCAAAAACTTGTTTTGCGTAGAAATTTCCGTTTTCTCGTCATTTTTTTTTTGTTTTTCTCGATTTTTTTGAAAACTGTTGGAAAATGTTTACTTTTTACCTGTATAATGCACCAAGTATATTCACTTTGCCATCGGAAACCACCCCCGAAGTTTGAAATTGAAGCATTATTTGGACTACTTATGCTGTTCACAGACACAAAAAAAAAAAAACACACACATCATTGTAAAATCAATACATTTATCACTCCGTTCAGAATCCAAAATTTCAACATACCTTATAATTTTTATTGCTGCTTATAAAGCAATCTAGGTAATTCTAATCGGTCTTGTTGTAACAAATGGACAGTTGAAATAAATACCATGATGTTTGTTAGGTAATTAAACTGAATTTTAAAATACTTAAGTAAAAATTATATCTTCGATAACGGAAAACAAGCAGAGACGGTAGACCTTCTAAAAAGTGTGTGTGCATTAGTGATGGGTCGTTACCATAGATCTTATACTAATAGATAGAAAGTGATTTTAAGCCAGGCGAGGAAAGATAGAGCCCGTTTTTCGGTGACTGAGTAGCTGTAAAATTATCATATACTATAAAGCCGCAGTCGCAAGATTATAGTAAAACGCGATAGTTACTATCGTAAAAGCAACTATCAAGAGATTGTCATCATGTGACCAGATTGATATTGACTTTCAAACTATCACGAAAGCTTCTCTCGTACTATCATGCGTACATAATAATTTGATAGGAAATTTCATGATAGTGATAAAAATTATCATCGTGTGGACACCATAAAATCATACTATTGTAGTGATTGGTAAGTGGCTTAACACACACACTTTTTTTTTTTTTATTAAGAAAACAAAAACGTATTTTATAATTCATGCATGAAAAATGGTATTTTATTTTAAAAAACTAAGAAGAAACATAGTTAACTTGATGTTAATTCATCTTTGATAGAAGGACGAGACAAATCTTATGGTTTTGGTTTAAATATGATCCAATGAATATTAAGTGTGTTATTCAGCTTTCAATTTTGTACATGTGTAATACGTTTTGTGGTAACTTAACTTTTTAATATTATTCAAGTACTTACCGCAGAGAATCATTTTTATATTAAAAATTTTCAGTTTTGTTTAATTCGAAATACCGTAATATGTATTTATTATACATACGAGGGCTATTCCAAAATTAACCTTCAAAGTGAAAAAATTAAAAAAAAAAAAAACCAAAACATTAATTTTTTGCACAGAATAGTTTTATTAAAATATAAATTATTTTTCTACATAGTCTTCGTTTAAATCTATACATTTTTGATAACGTGTGACGAGCTTTTGTATACCCTTATTAAAAAACAGTACCGTCAGTACGTTGAGTTCATAAGTTCCTCATTACTTCCAAAATGTTGAGATGCTATGGATGATTTCAATTTTGGAAAAAAGTGATAATTACTTGATACTAAATCAGGACTGTAGGGAAGGTGATCAAAAATATCCTAATTGAACTCATCCACTAAAGTTTTTGTGCGTGCAGCAGTGTGTGGTCGCGTATTGTTATGCAGAAGCACCTGGTAAGCATTCCTCGTCTTTTGTTCTGGATTGCTTTTCTTAACTTACGTAAAGTTTCACAATAAACCGCTGCATTTATTGTATTTTCAGGTTCCATGAAGTCGGTCAACAATATGCCTTTACTGTTCCAAAAAACTGTGACCATCATTTTTCGATTGGAAAAAGTTTGTTTGAATTTTTTTGGCTAGTTAGAGGAATGAGTGTGCATCCATTGTTTTGACTGTTCTTTAATTTATAAATTTACATACTGGAACCATGTCTCTTCTCTAGTCACAATTTGTAGTAAAAATTCTTCACCTTCCATTTCTAAATGTTCGAGAAATATTTTTCCTGAATTGACACGTTGGGTTATGTGGACATCTGTGAGCTGTTTTGGGACCCAACGGCACAGAACTTGTAGTAACCCAAAATTTCAGATACGATTCTGTATAAAGTAGTTCGAGAAATTTCGGAAAATTTTGTCGCAAGATCTTAAATTGTGAAATGCTTGTTTTCTCGAACAAAATGGTTACTTGGTGAACCACGTCTTCGGTCATGATCGATTTGCGCCCTTAGCCCCCTTCATTATGCACATCTGTGCGTGCGTTTTTAAATTGTCTACACCAATTACGTACTGAACATCACTTATAACTGTATTGCCGTAAATAGCACATAACCGACGATGAATTTGAGTTGCATCATTTCTTCCGGCTTGCAAAAAGCGAATTACACTTTGTACCTCACAGGCGGCGGAAGATAAAATTGTATTCTCCATATTAAAACGGCAACTATCGGAAAAATACTGAACAAAAACGGTTGAAACTTGGCAAATTATTAAAAAATAATATACTGGTTGCGAAATGCAGACACACGTCACCGAAGTGCACGTATGCAAATAATTGTAACACATCTGAAGTTGATTTTGGATTAGCCTTCATATACCAGTATATGTATACATTATACATATTTACTAAATCTTATTATAAAATAATATTTTTTTTTTATTATAAGTCGAAATATACAAATATACAATCTATATCAGCTGTCATAAGTATATATGATATAAGAAAGATATCATGAGTATACACAAACAGAGAAACGCGAGTAAAGAAGGCACTCAATGATGATGTACTTATTGCGCAATAATATGAAATATTTGAAAAAAATCTACAATAACTAATGGGGATAAAAAATTTGAGCATAAGAAATATTTTATAAGTCATTCTAGATTATATTTAGCTCATTTACTAAATGGTTTATACTTGAACTTATAGAGATACATTCAGAGATGTATCAGAGATACATGTTTCATTACATCTTCTAAATATATAATTATAGAAGAGATATCATCTAAAATTATTTTTTTCAATTTTTCTACTCCCATTAGGTTGGAACGTTTTTTTTTTTAAATATTTGTTTAATTTTATTAATAATAAATTTCATTATATATATATATATATTTCTTCTATTTGATCACTTGCTTCGCCCTTCTCCAGTTAAGTATACAATTTTTGATCTAATTGATGTTTGATAAAAGTGGATACTCATTTTATTCTGAAATTTATAAGTTTTTTTTTTTGTTGTAAAAATGCGGGATTATCACTAGTTAAAAAAAAATTGAACATTAATAATTACTTCTATAAATTGTTTTTCTAGCCACAAAAAATCATTTGTAGTTAAACCATCAGTATGTTCAGTTTTTTTTTTTTATAACTCTTTTAAAATTATTATTATTTATTTTTGGCTATAAATCTGTAAACCAAAGTTTTCAATGGTTTTTCTTTTATATGAAATACTTACTATTGGCTGATTTATTTTTGTATCACTTAACAAATTATAATTGCGTTGAAGTCGGTCAACATTTAAAATATCCACTTCATTCAACATTCCTGTATACTGTATTTTGAATGATGCAGGAGAAAAGAGAATGCGGGACGCTTTGAACGAACTAAAGGATAGATCGAAGTATCAAATAGATAATAGGTATTGTTCAATTTTAATTAATAATAGTTGATACTTGGAAATTTCCATTTGCGTTGTTTTGGTTGATGTAATTAGAGGTACACGAAAAAATACTCATTATAAATATGTATGCGGCATACAAAATGTAGATAATGAAGACGGTGTCGACCTTGTGTGAGGGCTTCAAAAAAAAGACCGTATTAGCTAAGTCTTTACATTAAAAGATAATGATATCCGCCGGATTTGCAGGAGATACAAAACCGACTACAACGTACTAATTAAGAAAAAATAAAACGAAATTTTTCGCGAATCACTGTATAGTTGAGATATGATTTCGATTGTATCTCGAACTCCTATACCAATTTATCTCCATACGACCAAACCTAGATCGGGACGTCGTGTATGCGTTGGGCGACAAGTTCTGACTGTCCGGCTTTAAGGACGTGCTCCAGTTGACCCCTTTTGTCCTGCTCCTAGTCCGGGATCGATCATTCGCGTCGAACCACGTGACTCTGTACACGATGTTCGTTGGCAACAAGTTGACGTGATTATTATCGGATTCTAGCGGTTGATTTTTCACCAAAAATAATGCTGTCTGGATGCGCGATCGAGAGATTCGGGACAACAGCACCCACATCATGCCATATGTTGATCGGACTAAGTATGTCCGTCTCCGATTCGTTGTGATATCGTTCACGTTGGTCACGTTCAGCCGGTTTGCCTGAAAACATTCGAGAATACGTCATTTAATTTATAATATTATTTCTATTATTTACACCGTGCGAATAACAGAAATATATTATCAATTATCATCGTGTCGCGTAAAAAATCGACAAGAAAATAATGTTCAGAAAACGAAAACCCCGTTTCCCGTCAATAGCGCGTTTTACGCAATATTCGTAAGGCATATTTAACTTCGGGCGAGATCGTGGGTTTTGATGAGTTTGTATTATAGCGGCTATAAGGAGGGTTAGCAATGTAGAATAGTTTCGATATTCAAATATTATTTACCGAAGTCTGGATGGCGACGCCAGGGTGCGAGTTGGACACGTGCTCGTACAGCTGTTCGTACATACCAAGCCACTGGCACGCATTCACCTGGCACGCAACGTTCGGCACGTGCGGACATCTGGACTCGTGTTCGTTAACGTATCGCACGTAAATCAGCTCAGTGCACCCGTAGGGTGCGTAGGTACACTTCACCTTCACTAGACGAGCCAATTCGGTCAGTTTGTCGACCGCAGCCGACGAGCTCAACGATTGCATCATCGGCGTTCGGCACAGTGGGCAGGGTTTTTCTTGGGTGTTGTTCATATTTACTAGTGTTAGCATGCACGATTCGCACACTGCGTGACCGTTGGGGCAATAGCACGACATTATCGACATCAGCGTCAGGCATATTGGGCATTCCAGAGCGTTACGGATCGCCCGGGAAATGTTCACGATCTCGTCCGATTCGGACATCTGCGCCGAAACGGAAACTACATCCACCTCCATTGCCGCCACGGACGACGATGACGTAGCCGATGCAACCGTTGACGCCGATCGGTCTGCTAAATCTGAATTTGAAAGCTCCACCGTTGCCTCCGTCACCGTCGAAGTCGTCTCCGTCGCCAAAGTTGTCATTATTCGTTCACAGTCGCGTTACACAGAACACATTTATTAAAATTTCAGATTTGATTATTACGTGTACTACACTACTGCCAATAATTATGTATTGTGTTTATTTTTTACACAATGCAAAGTTGCTAAACGTTACCATTGCAATCTTATCTTACAAACAGTTTCCCTTGTAAATATTATCATTGTTTTATTATAAGCTAGTTCATAGATGCTCATTAATTATCAAGACACATCTAATGTAATATAATTATTATTAGGAATATTAGATTTATAAATTTAATTTTTGCTCCTATATGACGCTATGGATGGCTGAGCCCATCCACATGATGATACCCAAAAATGTCCTCATTTCTACAATATCTGTTTCTACCCATTCCCTGAGTCTAGATGATGGCCGTTGGGCTGAAGACAATAAACTGTTACCATATCTATTTGTTTCTAAAACCAATAAGTTTAAAATATCGTCGTCAACAAACAAACAAAAAAAATCATATGGGGACCCGGTAGAAAGTGTTTCTATTATATCCAGGTTAATTCCAAAAGGCTCGTCATTAGGATTGAAAATTGGATATGAAGTATTACTACTATTCGTTGGACCAAAAGTAGATGAAATTTGATTAGACAAAATATTAATTGGCTCGTGTGGTATACAACTATCTTCATCATCACTTGAAGAATCCTATACAATAAAAGTAAAGGTATAGTAAGTTTTTTTTTCAAAACGTATGATTTCCATTAATTGGTAATATTGTTTAAAAAAATTATTGCAATGTGATTTTATTTTTATATTATTTTCTATGATTGACACCAAGTAATATAATATGACATTTTAAAATATAAAATAGGAACATGAAAAATATTTATTTATATTAAACCCCTCTGCTCCAATCAATACCTAAATCTCTAAATCATAAATAAATAATAATAAAAAACATACAAAACTTAAGATGGGGTCTGCATCCGAATCATCGCCACAATCAGATAAATCCTCATCAAATGACATATTTAGAGCATTAATGATTTCATCGTTCTCCATTGTGTTTTAAATATACGTCAAAATATGTCGTACGTCGTCACTTGACAACGAGACAAAGTGAAATGAATTAGAAAATAATATGACAATAGTAATAGGGCTATACTTATAGGCATTGAGTACCATAACTGGTACTCGTTCGGAATCGGTTTATTTTTCTTTAAATAAACATACAATTATATCAATAAGCTTATAAGATAAGAAAATTATTAGAAATATGAAAAAAAACCCAAGGCCTGTGGTGTAAATATGTCCAAAAATACGATGGCGTACGTGACGAAACCAGTGAGTACCTGTATTGGTACTCTTGGCGTGTGAGGACAACTCGGTAAAAATACTCCGGCAGTCAACTTGTTAATCAAAAAATTATTTTAATTGCAAAATCTTGAAAATTTAAAAATTATATGATGTTAATAAATACATACTATTTAATTACATCTCTGTTGTTGCATTGTACTATTAGAGACTCTTTCAAATTTTCAAATATAAATGATCTGCGATTATCAGTGAGCAAAGTTTTGTAAGAAGAAAATGATCTCTCTACGTCCACTGATGTTATAGGAGCAAATTTCAAATATGTCATATCATCGAGATTTAAATCTTCTGGCAGTTCCAATTTTAACACTTCTTCACCGTTCAAAATTTTTGATATTGTATATATTGACTTAAATCCAGTATATTTTTCTAAAACTGTTTTCATTTTTAATTGTACGGCTTTACCAATTTTATTTTGTGATTTATCAATTGTATTTTTACATCCAATATAATTTTAATTGACTCAGACAAAAGACAGCCTGCTTTTTCAAGATGCAAAATAGCACTGGTTAATGCACTAAAATTTTATTTTATATATGTTAAATTACATTCCAGATTAGAATCGTTTATCAAATCACGAACTTTTTTTATTGAAATAGCATCATCTTCGTCCAATTCCACAACTACACGTTTTACTAAAGAAAAATGTTCACAATAATAAATTGTCACGTTGATTTATGTACCCCATCTTTGTGAGTATGGGCTCTGGAGGTAAAGGAATATTTGGTGCAACACTTCGAAAAATTTGTACTCGAGAAAGAGCTTTTAAAAATTTTTTTTCATATTAGAAATCAGCTTATAAACTTTTGGAAACTGTAATCTAATTTCCTCACATACTCGATGCAATGCGTGAGCTACACGAGTAATGTGTTCCATTTTAGAATTAATTAATATTTTAAGAGTTTTGCCAGCTTTTACCATATACGGTGCGGCATCCGATAAAAATAATAAAATATTTTCATGCCTAACCCCTTCGGGCTATAAAATTAAAAGCGATTTATCAAATAATCGAATTATTGTAGCGTAGTTAGCTTTATCTAAAACTTCTGAATTTAAAAGAAATATTTTACCTGGACTGTCAATTTCCAAGGTACCTATTATTACGTTTGCCACATAACGACCAGCTACTATCTATCCATGCTACATCTGTTGTCTCGTCGATTGATACCCATATTTTCTTTTCAGATGCATATGCTCTTTTATTATTATTTGTTTCTTCGTAGCATTCTATAACATATTTCTTACGCATTGTTAATTGATCTGGTGCGATTTTATTTGTATACCTTTCAAGAAATTTTCGAAATGACGGTTGAGATAGCTTATAAAGTGGTATATTTGAATATAATAGAGCATCGCAAAGATCGTAGTTAAATGTTGATGCTGTCGACGGGCCATTTAATAGAGTTTGAGATTTTTTGTTGATTTTTTTTTTTCTATACTCATTATATGTTTATCACGTACAACATGTTGAGAAACATTGAATTTTTTTCACCGGAAACTTTTATATCACAGTTTTTGCAATAAAATATTGTCCCATTAGTGATAAAAATGTTGTCGCCGAATTCGCGCACAAATGTACGTGACTGTGTATTTTGTCATTTGTGTTCAGTGCGCCTATAGTGTGTTTAGTGCGCCCGTCAAATACGTACCTATAATTTCAATGGCTTCCAAACGAAAACATCTAACTTTAGCAGAAAAAAATCAAATTGTTAGATTTTTACCAAAAAGAAAATGTGAGTGCACGTACTCTTGCAGATAAATTTGGAATAGGAAGAACTCAAGCCACCGACTTAATAAAAAACAGAGAAACGATTTTAAAATTATGGAAATCCCACGGTAATGATCAAATGAAAACTATAAAACGTCGTAAAACCGAATTAGGCAATATCAACGAAGTTGTATACGAATGGTTTGTGCAGCTTGTGCTAGAAATATTCCAATCAGTGGACCAATACTTAAATAAAAGGCTTAGAAAGTAAGTAAAGAATTTGAATGGGGAAATTTTATAGCGTCAAATGGTTGGCTTGATAAATTTAAATCACGCTACAATATTTCTTTTAAAGTGGTTTGCGGTGAGAGTAAATCGGTTGATACGGAAATAGTGAACGAATGGCGTATAAACGTCAAACAATTAATTTCTTCTAATGAGCCACGAAATATTTACAATGCAGATGAAACAGGATTATTTTATAAAATTCTTCCTAATAAAACATTAAGTTTTAAAAATTAAATTTGCACTTCTGGGAAAAAGTCTAAAGAAAGATTGACGGTCATGTTATGCGTTA